GTTCTCCGAATTGCAAATTCAATGTATTCAGTGACTTCATTTTGACTCAAAAACGATGTTTGCAAGATTGTGGTTTTACCACCTTTTAGTATTTCATAAAGAATTTAGTGATATATAAATCTCGCAACAGAATTGAGATACAGAACCACGGAAATGAATGTGGACCATATATTTGGAAAATTCAGATTTGAGTAAATAGGAAATTAAAGTACCAAGTATATACCGTCGGGTATTTTTTAGAAACAAAACTGGCCAATTGTCTGGTATTATTGGTGTTGCCGTGCTTCACTTTGGCTTTTTTAATTAAAGCTTCGGCGATTCATAGCCATGGCAATTATTCGGAGAATATTTCAATGTACCTAAATTCATTTGAAAATATGTTAGTCTGGGAATCAAAGGACGGTATTATATTTTCAATTGCATAACTTAAAAACGTCGATCTTCTGGGGTGAAAGAAAGAATAGTATGCCGCAAGAATGAGGATGCATTAGAAATCTTTTGAATAAAGTTGCAATAAAGCATAAAATTTATGGAGATACGCAAATATTGATTTTAACCTCTATTAATATGCAATTTCACTGACAACTATGTTTATAAAATTATCAACAATGATTTTATAGTTTTGTCATTGAAAGAGCGCTACTTACAAGCATTAAATGCTACATATTTTAATATCAAAGTTTTATTATGAATTATATGTGCATATCTCATCAATTTGAGTATTTCTTTAATTATAACTTTCTCCTTAAGCGCGATATAATTGATCGATGTACAGCATTGTATGATGAAATCCAGTCGTACATATTCATTAAAACTAAGCTGAAGATTTCGTTAAATAAAATTCTTTTACTAATCGATTTCTTATTGTAATCAAAACTTTTCTGATTATATACCAAAATAGTTAATGAACAATTATGCTCATTATTATATTTATTTTATAGCTGTTTTACACATAGCAATTGTAAAAATAGTGAAATTTTTAAAATATTTATCAAGTTTCTTGATAGAATATTTAGTAAGCTAAAATTTTATACATTAATCTTATTTAAAAAAATCATATATAACGCTTGACATAACTCAAATATATACACAAAGATAGTATTTTATTATTAAAAGTTACTTTATTTGACGAACGAAAAAATAAATAAATTCTCTTTTTTTCAAATATTACCCGAGACTCTAAAAAAATATATAATACTTAAATTGATATATTTAATCGTATAAAATATATAAATTAATGTAGAAAACCTGGATCGTTACATGAAAAAAAAAATAAGAAAAAATAATCTTTTAAAATTTAAGAAAGAAACTTTTTAATGTTAAAAATTTTAAATATTGTATTTTTTTTTTCAATATTATCTTAGTTTCCTTAATTTTTATCATTACTTTTTGATATTCCAATTTATTTAATTTATTAGTCCCTTTTTTTTACATGCTATAAATAAACTGCGTGTGTAAATAAATTGGTTAATAATATTATAAGGCATATGTATAGAAACTATTATCTAACTTTTTGATTTACACTAGAAAGTTAACTAATTTGGTAATATTTATTATATTTGTAAGTACATTCAACTTAATATTTAAAATAGTTCGATAATCGAATTTAAGTTAATTAATTTGAAATAATTTCTTATTCATGGAATGTAAGAATCTTTACAGAACTACTTTTATTGTAATATATTGATTAATTTGTATATAAAACATATTTCGTTAAAGTTAAAATTAGAAGTGTAATGACTAAAAACTAGAAAAATACAAGATGATATTATTATACAATAAGATATTTTTTCAAAAGGTCATTATAAGCTATTGTTCTATCATTATAACCTAATCTTCATCTTTCGTCTTTTAACTTATGAATCAAAAAATGAAAATTTTTCAACATATCAAAAAATAATTCAAATTTTTAAGTTCTAAAAGGAAAGAATAAGCAAAAACTATTTTTATCCACTATCTCTACGAATAAAGATAAGAATCTACGAATATAAAGAAGTAAATAAGTAACATTAAGCTTGCATTCGTATATAAAAGCAAGAGATTTATAGAAGTGTAATGAAAAAGAGTAACATTGATAAACATAAAGGATAAATAAATAGATAATATAAAAAAAGGGAAGGAAAGAAGGAATAATGAAATAAGAAATCAATATCCAATCCACGCATCGCAGTGTTCATGCACAATTAAAAAAAAACGACTGACGATAGTCCGGAATAAAATAAAAAAAGAGTAGAGTGCAGGGACTCATGGCTTCTTCTTTCTTGTCATCATCTTCTTCTTTTTCTCTTTTTCCTTTTGACGCAGGTTGGGAAGGCTTGAAAATCCACAAATTGCCGTCACGTCGTGCGGGTGGAAGAATTCAGAAATTCCACGAATACTCCATTTTCAAAAGATCATTTATTTTTGGGGTCTAAAGTTTCTTTGACTACGTATATATGGGGTTTCTTCTCATGAACAAAGATTTTTTTTCTTTTATTTCAACTACAGCACTGCATTTAAAAAAACTTAAACTAAATTACTTACTAATGGCCTATGGAAAAGTAAATTATCAAATTATTAATTTCAGACAATTAAACGTCAAATTTTATATAAATACAATACATTGTTACAAATAAGTTATTTCCATTAAAAATAATGTCTTAACTCAATATTTGCTTTACTCGCATTTGTAAAATGCTGAATATTTTTAATAATATAATAAAATATAAAGCGTAATATAATGTAATCCATTGTGGTATAATTTATATTGCACTACAATAATTATCAAAGAAAATTTTTCTTTATATAGCTGCATAAATTGTTGCCCGTTATTTATAATAAAAAATTTATTCAAATAAATCGAAACATAATTATTTTAATGATAGTAACATTTTAAAATCTATTATTGATTTTATGTAGATTAATAAATGTGTAATAAAAGGCACAAGTTAGAATACTATTTCTTTGTACGTCCTGGTAGAATCAAATGTTTTTTCTTTCAATTATTATTTTATTATTTTGTATGTAATTATTTTAACTTGGATTATTTTGGAATTGTATTTTAAAAAATATCATGACAATCGAATATAAATTCTGTTAGAGTCCTTTGATAGAGATTTACTTGAAAACATATTATATACTCAGGCTGATGCGTGAAATGTTTGTAATCACTGAGAAATGAATATGCTTAACTGCGTTAAGTTTTAATAATTTAATAATAGATTAACTATGTAATAATAGATAACACATTTTATAAAAATTATTGTACAACATATTATCGAAACACAAATATGAAATAATATACCTTATTAATCAATTATTAAAGCTCTATATTAAAAGATTATATATCTATTAGAAGCTATATCAATGATGTTAAAAAAAAATATAACATTTTATAATAGATATTATTAAAAAATATTTAATAAACATGGTTTTTAAATAGAAAATAAGTTTTAAATGATTATGCATTTAGTAAAAATACGAGAAAATAAAATATCAAAATGAAGTCCTAAGTTATTTAAAAATAATAAAATAAAGTGCAATTAAAATCAATTCATTAGATATATAGAAATTACAATACTTATACTAAAAATAATTAAATGTAAAATACAATTTAATCAATGAAATTGAAAATATCTTTAATATAATTGGAAAATATTACAAAAATTGTCATGGAATCTTCAAGCATAAAAATTTTACTATAATGTAAGTGGTACACTATAAGATAAAGATGTATAAAACTATGAAATGAAATTTTAAAGTACAAAATACTTTATAATATAGTATGATTCTATAATGCTATAACATAATATTTACCAATACTCTAAAGGTGACAAATTCTATTTTGTAAAGATTTTTACTAATAGTTATTGAATTAAGTTTATAAAGGATCTTTTAATATAAAAAAAAAAAAAAAAAAAAAAAAAAAAAAAAAAGAAAACCTGATTCATGTATGAGATATTTCGTAAGAAAAAACGATTAAAACATATCTTTGCGATTAAATAAATGAGTAACGATAAAAATATAATTGATACAATACTTGAAGAAGATTACTTCAAATAAAATATATATTTGAAAACCGAGATATAATAAATAAATTGATTTTATATAATATATCGATAAACAATTAAAATGTTAGTAGCTTTATCAAATTTAATGGTTAAAATTTATAAAAATGGTATTAGAGACCTGGCTTTAACAGAATTAAAAAATTTAATGTATTCGAAAAAATGTACTTGTAAAAACTACTTGTAAAAATGTTTATAATACGATAGAAAAATGAAAGTAGAGCTTATAAGCAATTACGCTTATAAGCTATCATGAGATAACATAACTTTTTACGAAATCTAATATAGTAGGTATAATTGAATCACGTAGATTAAAATGGGTTAGTCATGCAGTGCTAAAATAGAATATAAAAGAGTAGTATACAAAATTTTAGTAGGGAAAATGAAAAATAAATGAGCCTTAGATGAAGGCAATTAAGATGAAAAAATGTTGATAATTTAAAAATAATAATAAAATAATCATAAATTAAAAGCATTAGGACATACTTCGGTTTAGTAAAACAAAACAAGTCTTCATTTCATACCATTTGGATGATTTACCTTAATCACCTGAATTGTTAAATAAGAGAATGATAATAAAAAAAAACATAAAAAAAAATAATAATAATAATTTCCGAATAAAGTTTTGAAAAATAAGTGAAAATCGCCCAATTATATGTTAACGCGTCTTTTTCAAGTATCCAAATCAAATAGTTCATACAGTCACGTGACAATCTGCATTTCAAAGATTGAAAAAAATTAAGTCTAGAAAACTCCGGTCCTATATGAATTTCGTCTCCATGTAATCATCATTATTCCTTTAAAAAGCTGAAATCATGAGAATGAGGCTCGTTCTTAATCGTCCTTCCACTTATCTTTCTCTTAAATTAAATAAGCTGAGCTAACGGGAAATAATGTGGGATTTATTTAATTTTAATGAAAATTTGCGAAAACTCGCAATGTGGATTCACTCACCGCTCGGTCCAAGACAATTGAGGACTACACCTAGGAGAAATAATATTCGGGGACCTCGCCACCCTTGCTGTTGATGACTGCAGTCCCAGCATCCTTGATGCGCCAATAAGGACGCAGTCGGCGCCTCGAGAACCATTTTTCCCCATGCGCAGGACGCCGACTTCCTCCTCCTCTTTTTACTGGGCCGTTTCAATCTTCCGGACTCCCACGTGATTTAGAGGTATGCTGAAATATAAAGTTCTCTTCAACTTTTTTCTTCCAGATCGGCGATGTTATCAAAGCAATGAAACGAGGCAGACAATGAAATTTGTTGAATTGGACTTGGCTGGACGAAAGACGATTAAGGTCAAGTTGGAAGGAGAGGTTACTCAAGCTTACTAATAGTAGCCTTGCAGATAATATTTATTGGTGCAGTTGGGCTGCGGTCACCAGTAACTACTAATAATTAGTAATTAGTTTGGAAAGTAGGGATTGGATGTTATTTCGAAATAGTTTCAAATATTATTGTTAGTAGTTCGTTGAATGAGTGTTGAATTTTTGTGGCTTTGCGGCAGCGATCAAATAATTATTGTATTTCAATAGTAATTTGTTATATTTTTATTATGCTATTGCATTGTACAACGAACAATTATTATTCCATTATTTTACATACTTATGGATAATAAGAAAAGATTCATTGCGATATCTGTTTATGTAAGCAATCAAGAACTTCGATGAAGTAAGAGCCTCGGTAAAATAAATTCCTCCACCTAAATGATTTTAATTAAATATTGCTTAGCAAAGTATACAGAATTATTCGCTATGATAAATATAATTAATATAATAAAGAATAAATTTAATTGTATCAATTAATAAAATATCAATAACTCTCTTGACATTTAGTGGCAGGAGATATATATTTTAGCAACTATAAAACTAAAACAGAGATATAAAGTATTAATAACCCTTTATAATAAAATTTTTACTTCATATTTTTTATCGAATGCAATTTCTTTATAGCACGGACTTCAAGAATGACTAATGGTTAAAGTTATTTTCTATATAAACATTATATAATTATTTTTTAATACTAATGGACAATAAATGTCAAAGATTTTAGAAGATTATAAAATTCTAATGAAATTGTGGATAAATTATTTTTTATTTATTGGAATGAAAAATAAATGTTTCTTACATGACTAAGATAAATTCACTTTATATTATTTACGATGAAATTATATATATCTATATATATGAGTAGTTGTGTGTGAGTGTGTGTATAATTGAAAATATCAATCATTCATTTATTAAATTTATTAAATAATGTTAATTATAAAATAATGGTAAATTAAAATTAAAAATTATTTATTTAAAATTTTTTAAATTATCTCATAATTTTTGCTTTAGCGATGTTTGTACTTTGATATATTGGTCTATGCTATAGTTATACTTACAAAATTTAATCGCGTAAAAGGATTTATTATGTATGAATTTTTATTGAATTTTAATAGCAATTTATATTGTAGAGAAATTTAATAGGTTCAATTGCTTTTCAACTTTAAACTTCTATATGAAAGAACTTTTTTAATTTTCACGAATAACTCAGCATTCCATTTGAACAGTGTTAATTTGGACAATTTTCAGCAGCATTTGCAAAGCTAATTTCATTAAGTCTGATTATGACTATGATTTTTGCTTCACATATTATAAACTAAATGAAAAATATGTCTTTATAAAAAAAAATTAAGTATAATACCAGTTAATTTATTCAGTTGATGAAAAATTCAATATCAATATTGGAATTTTCATTATGATAATTATTGAAAAGATAAAAGTGGTAAATGTGTATTTTATATAATTGTAGTATTATCACAACAAAATTTTATAAATATTGCCAGGTATCAACGTTATATATGTTGTGTAAATTTTGTTTAAAAATTTAAAAAATATTAAAAAATAAAACAACATAAAAAATTTTTAAAAAGTTTAAAAAATAAGTAATGTAAAGTCAGCATATAATTTAATTGATTTATTGGTTTTGGCTTTAATACTCCAAATAAAAATAAAATCAACAGATCATCCAAATTATCAAAAAATAAAATTTTTCTATATAAAGTATATATCATACTGAGTTTCTAAAGTTATCGAATAACTGAAAAATGTAACATTTATGTGTCCAAATAAAGAATTTTGTTTTGTATTATAAGAGTGAAAAGCTTGTTTGAAAGAATAATATTTACAGAATATAATATTTAATATCTTCGCACTTATAGTAAAAGTTTATTTCATTAATCATTAGACATATTCAGCATTTATTGATTGATTACTAACGGCAATATAGGATTAACTATTATTGAATTACGTTAAATATAGAAAATATTAAATGGCCAAAATTTTTTTTTCTGTCTAACATAGCTTAGAAAATTGCTATTCTACCAGCTTGAAAAATTTATCTCATAATTATTTCACATTATGCTTAAACAAATTATATTATTAGTAATACGTGTTATATCATTATAAATAAAAATTTAGTTTTAATAATAGAAATAATTCAATTTGAAGACTACTTAAAATTATTATAATTGTAATCAAATTTGGTAAGCAAATTTAAGATGTTAAAGAGCGAATGTATTTCTTTATTAACATCTAGCATTACACAATTTCTTTTAGAGTATTATTAGAGTATATAATTATTTTAACAAATAAGACAGCATAAACGTATAGGATAAATATATACGATGACAGATGATTAGTAGATTTATGATGATAGTTTGATATTAAATATGAATCAATTGTCGCACTATGTAATACAAGTTGTACGTGCAATATTTTCTTCTTTTTATTTAAAACTTAAATTCAATTTATGGTTATATATGAACCACACTACTTTAATCAATGATATAATAAAGCGATAATAACTAAACAAAAGAATGATATGTTTATTAGATATTCAAATAAAAATAATATTATTATGAAATTTGAGAATTATAGCTTTTTCAAATAAATTTATGAAATTGTGTAGTAATTTTTCATAATAACATGACATTAATAATACAGTTGTAATTTTAATTAACGATTAATTCTAAACGTCTTTTTTTTTAATCTTACATAATTTGGATAGTAATAATACAAATATAGATATAATATATATATATATATATATATATATATATATATTCTTATTATTATTGATTTTTCTATGACTTAGCATTTATACGCTAATAATCGTGATTTTCAAATAGATGCATTTATTATCTACTAACTTCGTTCATTAAAAATCATCAAATTTCAAGTTAATATTTAATCTTCTATATGAAGATTAAATATCACGCTGCGATATAAATTTGAATTTTACAAACTTTGTCATAAATTTAATGCTTCTATTATGCATTATATTATGCAAATAATGAAAATATGGAAAATAAAAAAAATTTTCACATTCAAAATGAGTATATATATATATACATATATATATATTTAAAAAATTCAAAATTACAACTATAGTCGAAAATCTAAATAAAATTTTTAAATTTTCAAAGCTTGTGTCAATTGTAATAAGTAATCGAACTCTAAATAGGCAAATTAAATGTATATATATATATATATATATATATATATATATATATAAAAATAAAAAATATTTTCACATTCAAAATGAGTATATATATATATACATATATATATATTTAAAAAATTCAAAATTACAACTATAGTCGAAAATCTAAATAAAATTTTTAAATTTTCAAAGCTTGTGTCAATTGTAATAAGTAATCGAACTCTAAATAGGCAAATTAAATATATATATATATATATATATATATATATATATATATACGTTGTGGAAATTTGTTCATAAATATATCTATACATATATATATATTTAAAAAAAAAATAAATATATATATATATATATATATATATATATATATATAAGAATGTTTCTAATATTTTAATATATATATGGCTAAGCTGTCATTTAGCATTTTATAGTTACTTTATAGCTAAACAAGATTTTTTTAATTAACTCAGAATTCATAAACAGATATTTAAATATGCTACCAAGTATTTGAACTTTACAGATAATTGCTTTTCGAAAATTCACCTACAATTAATTACAGACGTAACGGAGTACGTAAAATCTGTAGATTTTTAGTAAAGTACTTTTGTAGCTACCGATAAAATGGTAAACCAGTGGTCAAGAGAATCGACGCGTCTTTTCACAAATGATTGAACTTGGTCAAAGGGCGTGAATCCGGCAATAAGCGCATCAAAGGTTCCCATTTGAGCCCTCGTCAGGAGCATCTCCCAGGCAGGCAATGCTGTCCGTTAGCGACAACCGCAACCTCCCCTACTTTCATCCTGTAGTGCGCGTCCTCGCAGTTTAGATTGCGCAACGCGTACCGACCGATATATCTCTGGAGCTTTACATCGATACCGGGGATGCTTTCTCTGCCTCCCTTAGCATACTGAACGAGCGGCAAAGAATAGACGATGAGGGCTGGAATAAACGTGCCGCGGACGATGCACCCTAAAAGAGAATGTGTGGTTGGAATGCGAAGAAGAAAGGACAAGTGACGGGCTGTGACGAAGAGACGACAATGGCATTGACGACTTGGGCATACCTATGATGCAAGCAGACGTTATGAATATCTCACAATATACAATGCTTGGTCCTCGTGAATTATGAGGCTCTATTCGCGTGTGAGATCATTGTTTCATTTAGTTACTTTTTTTTTTTTTTTTTTTTAATGAAATATCTTTATGGATAGTTAAGCTTTTTTTCAAAACACTCATATAATGCACATATATTTAATTACAGTAAATACTTCAAATATAAATTGAAAAATTTAAATATAAATAAAATAAATTTACTCGATATCAATAATGTGCGTTGTGTCTGTCTATACATCTCTTAAATAAGTTAGGTTTTTTTCTTTTTTTTTTTTTAAATATCTATGTAAATGAGATATTTTTAATAATTATTATCAAGTGTAATTGATAGTCATAATAGTAATATAGAATAATTAGTGAAATGCCATGCTTATTTCCAAGTAATTTTATATTAAGGTAACAATTTTATCAAATGTGCGTACAAATATTTAGTAAATATATTATATTATGTAGATTATTGAAGTATAAGAGAAATTCATTTTACAT